TTTTTTTTTTTTTTTGGTACTGGGGATTGAATTCCTCCAAGTTCTCTTTTACTCTGAAAAATTCTGTGATTATTTGCAATCTCAGACGTGGAACTCTTGGGAAACACCATTTGTAAGGAAATAATTGATGATGCAACTTGTGAACCATTTTTCCAAATTAAAATTAAGTTCTCAAGGGAGTCCCACAGGGTAACACCGTGTCAGTTCTCTTTTTGGGACCTGCGAATCATACGTTTTGCACACACAGTGTACGGCTCCACCCAGATATTTGTATGAGCACGTGCTGTGGGAGAGGTGGCATCTCCTCCCTTCTTCCTGTGGGGAGTGACATTTCCACCACAGACATGAGTACGCTGAGGCTCCTGTGTCTTACACATCTGTCTTCTGGCTCTTTGGCAATTGTTTTCTGTTACTAGATATTATATTTCAATCCTCTCAAAGGAAAGGAATTCAGAGGTGTCAGAAAAGGAAGGCAGAAAAGTCCTCTGAAATAATATCAAAAGAATCTAGTCGCAATAGCCAAGTTATAGAACCAACCTAGAAATCCACCAACGTATGCATGGATAAAGAGCATGTGAGACAAATGCATAACGGAATACTATTCAGCCATAAAAAGAATAAGATCGTGTCCTTTGTGGCACTGTGTGAGCCTGGAGAACATTGTGTGACGTGAAATAAGCCGGGCATGGAGAAAAATACCACGTGACCTCACTCATTCTGGAATCTAGAAAATCTTGCATCTCATGGAAGTGGAAGGTAGAAAGGTAGGGAAGGATGGGAAGGGAATTACAGACAGGTGCTGGTGTCCTCCTTTTCTTTTGTACCAGAGATCAAACTTACAACCTTACATTTGTGAGGCAGGTGGTGGCACTGCTGTGCTAAATCTCCCGCCTGCATGCTGGTGTCTCATTGCACAGTAGGCTGGCTGTAGTTGGGAAAATTATATCGTATCCATACTTCCAAACAACTAAAAGAGGAGGACATTTGAATATTCTCATCGCAAAGAAATGATAGCTGTTTGGGGTGCTGAATATGCTAATTACCCCATCTGATCATTGCACATTGTATACCTGCATTGAAACATCAGGCTGTACCCCGTAAATGCAATTGTTATGTGTCAGTTAAAAAAAAAAGAACCAGAGTGATTCAACTTGGAGAAGGAAGCCACAGGGACAGGGTGAGCCTGACATTTCTCAGGGGCTGCAAGCAGCTCTTCAGGGAGGCTGGGCCTCAAATCTCCCCACAGGGCGTCCTGCTGTCGTGGACCAAGAAGTTCAAGGCACGGGGAGTTCAGGACACAGATGTCGTGAGCCGCCTGACCAAAGCCATGAGAAAACACAAGGTGAGGAGCTCCCCATTTCCTGGGGCCGGATCCTGTACTGGGCCTGCCTGGAAGGAGAATGGATAAAGGCCTTACGGAGGCCCTGCTGCAGTGCAGAGGTAGCCAGGCCGGGGGAAGCTGCAGGCGGGGAGGCTTCGAACACCGGGGATGGCCCCACCCCTGGGAAAGGTGGCCCAGGGCCTGCTGGGGCCTCCAAATGCTGCATCCTCGAGGTCACATGGCTAACCCTGAGCTGTGTGTGAGCTTCCCCTACTCTCTGAGACCGAAAAGCTTACTTTGAGTCTGGCCCTCTATTTTCCTTTTCACTCTCTGTCAAACCCAGAGTGCTTATTGTCCGGATTGCTAGACATAAACATCATTTTGGGGACTGAAGCCAAATCTTCTCAAAGGCTAGGCAGGAGCCCCACCATCGAGCTATTGCCCCCCCCCAACATTTGAATGTGTGGCTTTCTGATCTTTTTTCTTTTTAGAGCTGGGATCCTATTCATTTATAGACTGCATTTTTCTCTCATTGTTCTCAGGATACTTTAGCATGTTCCTCCAAACCTGGGTAACTTTTGGTGTTCGAACAGGAAGCCCAGGCAAGAAACCACAGTGCTGCCATGGGAGGACCCGGCTGAGGTTGTGCTTGCTGACTGACACATCCCCGCTGGCGAGGGACAGACATGCTTTCCTCTGTGTCCTCCCAGGGTCCCTCAGACCAGGTGCACTCCTGCTGGGTATCACACAGAAATCTTCACCCTCAAAGCAGGAGTTCCAGCTCCCCCAGACCCGGCATCTTGACAACAGCTCTTGTTTCTTTTGGTCAGCTCCAGGAGGCTGAACCTAATGATGTTTCAGCCAGTGTTTGAGTCCTGGGTGGGAAGGAATCATACCCCCTTCTACCCACTGCTGCCCTCTGGATCTTGTGTTCAGCAGGACCTGGATGTGGACATTCTGGCCTTGGTCAATGACACTGTGGGCACCATGATGACGTGTGCCTACGACGATCCCTACTGCGAAGTTGGCGTCATCATTGGTAACTCAATTGGAATTGCTTCCTGGGGGTGGGGGAAAGGTTTAGGGTTAGTTTTGGCAAAACTGCATAAGTAGGGAGGGGTGCTAAGGTTAACAGGAAAGGCAACATAGGGAATGAGGAACAGACTCACTGATTCAACTCAACAGGTGTTTCCTGAACTGGAGGGACCTGTGCTGGGTCCTGTGGTGGGGACCTGTACTCTTTTCGGGTTTCAGTGAGGATTTGGGGAGGCCAAGTAGGCCTAGGCTAGTAAGATAATTTCTAGGGGTCAAAGCATGTTAATGTGACAGAGTGAGGGGTGTAGACTAGGGCAGGAGGCCTGTCTGGGGGACACCAGGCACGCGCCTCAGCAATGAGAACAAGAGAGTGCAATGCAGCTGTGGGAAGAGTCCCTGGCTCAGAGGTGGGAATGAATCTGGGGTGCTCGAGGAGCCCCCAAAGGCTGACAGTGGCTGCATCAAGTGAGCAAAGGCTGAGGGTGTTGGGTGATTTGGGGCAGAAGAGCAGATGGGTGGGAAGGTGCACAGGGTATGGGACAGTCGCTGAAAGGCCACCAGCTTTTACCCAAGGAGATGGGAAGGCACTGGAGGGCTCTGGGTGCAGGATGAGTTGGTGCACGTTTCTAAACACTATTTGGGCTGCTGAGTGAAGCAGTGATGCCCAGGGACAAGGGTGGAAGCAGGGTGACCAGTGACGAGGTCACTCTGCTGTCCCGGTGAGACACAGAGAGGACTGGGCCAGGGAGGCTGGGTGCCGGGGGCGGCGGTGGACAGCAACAGGGAGAGGCAGTGAGAAGGTGGTTGGAAGTACAGCGGTGCAGATTGATCCAAGTTACAAAATTCCCTGTTTGGGGGGTGCTACTGAGGATCAAACCCAAGGGCGCTCTGTCACTGAGCCATATCCTCAGCCCTTTTTATTTACTTTGGGACAGGTTTTGCTGAGTTGCCCAGGCTGGGCTGGACTTTGTGGTCCTCCTGCCTCAGTGTCCCGAGTACCTGGGTTACAGGCGTGTGCCACTGTACCTGCTTGTATGTTGTTCTCAAACATCCACTTCCCTTCTTCCTAGTCCTCTCCCAGGGCTGGGAAAGTTTTCTGAATTGTGTTTTCTTAATTTCCAAAAGCATCTTCTTGGCCAGACTTTCCTAAGGGCAGAGTATTTAGACCTGAGCATCTCGATGTGGCTTTCTGTTCTGGATGCCTCACCCCCCAGAACGGGAGCTGCACTTTGCTGGTCTTGGTCTTCAGCTGCTGTCCCCTTGTCTATCTTGGTGGCGGATTCTGACGATCTACAAAATGGGGTGCTTTCCCTGAAAAGTTCTGTGCTTCCCTGAGCAAACCTTTTTTCAGATACTACTTTTCATTCAACTTTGCTCATTGCTCACTTTTCATGTTAGCCTTTAAAATCCTCAGACCAGAGTATAGGGCCCGGGAAGATAGCAGAAAATTTCTTTCCAAGGTGCTTTATTAACACATAAAAATTCTCCTGCTTTAGATGTACCACGCAATGATCTTTAAGATACATTTACAGATATTTGTGACCATAGATTCTTTTTTTATTAGTACATGTGTGTAGTACATAATGACTGCATTCACGAACATAATACAGATTGATGCTTTTTATTACCCTTCCCTTCCCTCCATCTCAAGATCCCTTTTACATTGTACCAAAGGTCTATCTTTCTGTTTCCTATTGTCTATTTTTCCCTTTGCTCTTTAAATTGCTTATTCTTTGGGTTTCTCATATAAGAGACACCATGCAATATTTAAGCTCGCGAGTCTGATTTATTCCTCTTAATATTATGGTCTCAAGGTGAGTCGTTTTCCTACCAGTGACTTGAATTTACCCTTCTTTGTGGCAGAGTAGCGCTCTGCTGTGTGTGAGTGCTACATCTTCTGTGTCCATTCATCCGTTGGTAGATATATAGGCTGCTTCCAAGATTTAGCTCCTATGAATGGGGCTGCTACAAACGGGTGTGCATGTATCACTGTGATATGATGTCTCTAACTCTTTCTGGCGATACCTAGAAGGGGAGTAGCTGGGTCAAATGGAATTTCTAGTTTTAGTTTTTTGAGGAATTTCCATGGTGTTTGTATTAGATTACATTCCCACAAACAATGTAAAAGGGTGCCTTCCCCACCCCCACAGCCTCGCCAGCGTTTGTTATTGTTTGATTTCTTGATGTGTAACCATCCATTCAAATTTTATATCAGCTCCATCCCCCCAAATTCCAAGCAGGCTGTGCCCCTGTGCAGCTGTTCCCCAGTTGTCGAACGCGCGGGGCATTTCCTTGGGGTGATTTTGTAGTAGGTAAGAGAGCACTTACTAATCACTATTAAGATGTAGCTTACGCTAGGAACAATTTTTGGCAGGTCACGGGTAAAGAATATTTTTAGTATCAAATAGACAGGAACGTAAAGTAGCTTAGGAAAAGATTTTTAAAAATCACTCTGACTTGGAGAGGGGTGAATTTTTTAATGAAACATTTACAAGATTAACTAAACTCGTTCCCCTCTTGTGAGTGTGTGTTGTCAGCTGCCGTGCCTGTTCCTCAGGAGCTGCAGCAGGATCGGCTCCATTCGTAGCAGGAAGCCATTAACACCTGAGAAGTATAGACCTGACAGCCGGGCTTCCTCCGGAGCTGGGGCTCCCAAGCTGCTTCCCCGGAGGACTCCAGCCCCCCCGCCCCCCCTGTCTTGCCCAGCCGGGAGCCCTCCGCGCACCGCGCGCTCTCTCTGACCCCGTTTCAGGCACCGGCACCAACGCGTGCTACATGGAGGACATGAGCAACATCGAGCTCGTGGAAGGCGACGAGGGGAGGATGGGCATCAACACCGAGTGGGGGGCCTTCGGGGACGACGGGGCCTTGGAGGACATCCGGACGGAGTTCGACAGGGAGCTGGACCTTGGCTCGCTCAACCCGGGGAAGCAGCTGTGAGTGCCCTCCTGCTCCGCCTGAGCCCCTCAGGCACCCTTTGAGCCTGCATCTGTCTCGACACACCGATTCGATTCGGAGAGGCTTGTGTTTCAGTCTCCGTACAGATGAGCACACCGAAGCCAAGGAAGTAGGGCGATGCGTCCTAGGTCCTACCCCTAGTTCTAACTCAGTCCCTATCTCTGGAGTCCGCGTGTGCCTGCGTGGCCCCCGGGATCAGGCTCTGCACCACGTGACAGGGGTCCTGCCTCTTGGAGCGCTGGGCGCATGCATGGTCACAGAATCACCCAGAGTGGCAAGGACTCCACTGAATGTCTCACCCACACGAGCCTGGTGGCCCTGGCAGGGCCTTTCCTTGGTGTCTGCTCTCCGTGTCCCTCCCACCCATGGTTCCTACTTGCCTACAGAATAAGTACAGTGGTACCTCGGTTCACAAACAGGTTTGCTTACAAACAGTTTGGTTCTCAAAGAGGAAGCATTTGGCAACATTTCCTTTTTGTTTGCGAACTCTGCATCACGTAAGAGAATGACCGCAGCCATTCTTTTTGAATGAACAAGAACGTGGCCCATCTTTTCCAGGATAGTCAGTTAAATTAAGTTTGTGGACTGAGGTACCACTGAATTTAGGTGTCCGCCTTCCTCTTTCTCTATATGATGAGCTTGCTGAAGGCAAGTGACACAGCTGATTTTTCTTTTCTTTCTATACACTTATCTTATATATTGTTGCAGTTCATTGTTAACAAAGAATACTTTTTAAAATTTAAAAATTAAATTTTAGGGTTATAGAAGAAAATAGTACAAAGTTTCCTTACACTCATTTCACTCAGATTCCCTAAGAGCATTCCCTCTCTCTGTCGGTATGTATATCTATGTATCTACACAAGTATATAAAATACAATTACATGTACTTGTACACAATTATTCTTTTCTGAGCCATTGAAGACTAAGTTGAAGCTATAATATTCTTCATTCCTCAATACTTCAGGGTATATTATCTGAAAACAAGTATGTTCTCTTACCTAATCACACCACAATCATCAAATTATTTGGAATTATCAATTAATTAAGAAACTAACATTTGGGCCGGGGATATAGCTCAGTGACACTGCACCTGCCTCGCAAGGACAAGGAGCTGAGTTCGATCCCCTGTACCGCAAAAACCAACCAACCAACCAAGCAACATTTAATCGGTTCTAACATTGAATTCATAGATTTTATTCAAAATTCTCCAGCTGCCCCGCCAATGTCAGCACAAAGGAAGAAGCGTGCTGTTCTGGGCACCAGCCCAGGGACAGGTTACATGTGAGCAGCTGTGTCTCTCTAGCTTCCTTTCACTGCCTTATTCATTGTGACTTTGAAGCTTGGGGCCATCAGTTTTACAGAGTCCTCTGTTTGGGTTTCCCTGATGTTTCCTCAAGATTAGATTCAGTTTTGACAGCAGCGTTCACTGACCAGGAGGCACGCAGAGTGTGGTTTTTTGTTTTTTGTTTTTTTTGGTACCGGGGATTGAACTCTGGTCCTTGCGCTTGCAAGGCAGGCCACCAAACCACTGAGCTAAATCCCCGGCACCTGGAGTGTGTTTCATTACTGCTCGGGCTGACTCTGTTCACTCGGCGAAGGGTTATCCAACAGGTTTCCCCTCTTTTTGCCTCTGCAGTGAGTGCACATCTGGGAAAGAGATACTTTGAGGCTATGGAAATGTCCTGCTTCTTCCCAAGTTTTCACTTTCTAGCTCAGTGATCCGTTTCTAAACCTATAATTCCTTCTGTTCATTCGTTTTCACTATACTGAAAAAGAAGCACTTTCCTATTGCCTCCATTTATTTATACTAGTGTGGATTCATGTGTTTTTAAAAAATTTACTGAGTTCTAATTTCTCCTTATTATTATTATTATTAGTAGTAGTAGTAATACTGGGGATCGAACTCAGGACCTTATGCTTTCGAGGCAGGCAGTGGAACCACTGAGCTAAATCCCTGGCCCCTCATCTTATCATTGTACCAGGCTTGTCTCACACTTTCCTGACCTCAGCCTCAGAACCAACTATTTTGCCAAGATGTCCCAGTGATAAACATTTTGGGCACCTCCAGAGACCATCCGAGCACCAGAAATGCAAGCCTGCACAGCACACTGCTGTCCCAGTGTGCCTGGCTCCCCAGGGAACGAGCAGTCCATCCCAGGGAAGTGGGGCCGTCGCTGGACCTTTGTCATATCCATCCACTTACATTTCACTTAGATTTCATTCCCCCAATCTGACACAGACTTCATTTGATTATCTTCTGTTTCTTCAGTGTTCTAAGACTGTTTATAAGTGAGACCTATAAGGTTGATTATGAAACAAATGGCTATGTCATAGCAACAGTGGCCTGATGTGCACACCAGAGTAGAGGTGAGAGCAGCCTTGAGGGTCAGTGTTCACCGTGCTATACTGGATCCTCTCTGGGATTCTTCAACTTGACTCACAGACACAGCATTTTTCTTAAACAGAGGGTGAAGTAGGAGTTGGAAGCTCTTGAGTCTGAAATTTGGTTCAGTAAACTTAGGAAAGCACCTGAAGTCTGATGTTGAGGTTCATTATGTCCAATGTGGCTTTCCCTGCTTCCTACTGGTGAGGTTGATTTGATAAAGATTCTTGCAGTCCAATGCTTTTTGAGCAGGAAGGAATCTGGGATGTCTTCCGGCTCAGCCCTCTCCTATCATAGGTGAGGACAGTGCAGCTCAGAGATCATAGTGCTCTTCTCCCAAGGTGCACTGCCCTGGGCTGGCCGGAGACCTCCTGATCTCCTGAGCTCCTTCCTCCCTTAGCAGGCAGCCCCTGGTCTTTGGGAAGTGGTGCTGCGTGACCAAAGTCCTCACTGCCACTGATGTCTTCACCAAACTGCAGGTTCGAGAAGATGATCAGTGGCCTATACCTGGGGGAGCTTGTCAGGCTCATCTTGCTGAAGATGGCCAAGGATGGCCTCCTGTTTGGTGGTGCAAAATCCTCTGCTCTCCTCACAAAGGGCAAGATCGAAACGCAGCACGTGGCTGCTATGGAGAAGTAAGCCGCTGGTCTCGTCCCTCTCACCTCGTCTCTGTAGGGCCAGGGTGGGTGGCCAGGTGCAGTGAGCTTGGTGATGGGACCGCACTAGAGATCGGGTCCTCCTCCTTCACCAAGAGGGCATCAGGCCCAGGCACAGCTTTGGACAGGTTAACAATTTTCTGCCACGATTCAGATGCCACAGTCGTGTTGGTTTCATCCTCCAGGGATGCTGGTCTCAGGGAGTCACCATCTTCCCATGTTTTGCTGACTTTTCTTCACTAGAGTGGTAACTTGTAAAAGTTTTAGGGCCACAGACCCTTTTGAAAAAATCTGATTTAAGCTCTGGATGCTTTATTCCAAAAATGCACATTTGTGAACAGTTTTGCTTACAATAGCAGAGCCTTATTGGAGCATCCAAGTTAGAAGCTCCAGCTGTAGCAAGAGGCTTCTCTGCCTGCACCCAGCCTGGCTGGCTTTAGATTTGAGGATCCAAAGACTTCCACTCAGACTTTGGCCTGGAGTGCGGAATACTGGGGAAGGTCAACCCAGGGTCCTACACCTCGGGCTTAGAGTCCCTGGCATTGCCTTGAGCTTTGCAATCAGTTCACATTCTGAGCTCAGCAGAATGGCACTGATCCCCAGAGTCTGTGTCTGTGTAGAGCCTGGCATGACGGTTTCTGGGAATGGCAAGATAGCAGGAGGTGGTAAAAAATGTGGGCTCCACAGTACACCTGTCAAACCTTGGCTCTAGCACTTATTAGCTGTGAGGCCAGGGACAAGTCATTTTCTCTCTGTGCCTCACATCGCTCATCTGTATAATTTTCTGACAGTCCCCTGGGGTTGTTGTGAAAATTAAATGAATTCCATGCAAAATTACAGTACCTGGCATATGGAAAATGCTCAGTAAATAGTGGCTGCTGTTATTGATGCTGATAGTGTTAATACTATGTTACTGTGAGCCAGCCTATTTATTTTCACAGTCCCAAGAGGTGGGAGAGCTGTTTCCCCCAGGAGGATGCCCACAGCATGGAGGCGTGTGGTTTTCTCATTTCTGTCTCCTGGCCAGGTATAAAGAAGGCCTTGCCAACACAAGAGAGATCCTGGTAGACCTGGGCCTGGAGCCCTCTGAGGCCGACTGCGTTGCTGTCCAGCACGTCTGCACCGTCGTCTCCTTCCGCTCGGCCAACCTCTGTGCAGCGGCCCTGGCGGCCATCTTGACGCGCCTCCGAGAGAACAAGAAGCTGGCTCGGCTCCGGACCACCGTGGGCATGGATGGCACACTCTACAAGATACACCCTCAGTGAGTGCTGCCCGCCAGCCCACACCCCTACCAACGAGCCTTCTCAGAGCTGAGTCCCACTGTTCTCTCTGGACTATGCTGCTGGAACCAACGACCTCTTAATAGTTCTGAGATTACAAGGGAGTGGACAAATCCAGAGCCTACTTTCATCTAGCTAGCAAGGGTCCTCTTGGGAATGACTCTTAGAGAAAGAGTCTAATGAAGTCAATCACCTAGGCAGGATGGCCATCCATCCATCTGTCATCCATGTGTCCATTTGTCCGCCTCCAGTATGTGTCATCCACTCGTTCATTCACTGTCTATCCACCTATCCATGCATCCAACCATGTTTTCACTCATCTAACCATCCATGCCTCTCTGTATTTCTGTCTGTCTTGTCTATCTGTCCACCCATCCATCCACTGTCTATTCACCTATCTATGCATATATCCACTATCCACTCATCTATCCATCTATGGTCTCTCCATCCTCCATCTACCTGCCTGTGGCACCGATCCATCATTATTTATTGAATGCCTACTATACATAGGACTGGAAAGTAAGATATGCCTAGTTATAGTTGGGGGAAAAGGAGGGGTGGTAGAGGTTGCTGAGTTAAAATGAGTAATTCTGGTAAGAAGTTGCATGGAAGTGTGAATTTCCCAGAAAGATGGAGTAAAAGCCCCTTTGGCTAAGAGGTGATACTAGAAATCAACTAAGTACATTCTAGAAAGAGCTAAGAACTTCCTTTTGGAAAGAGATGATATTTAGCTAATATATTACACAGGGATGCTCGCCTCTGGTTGAAAGATTAGTCAATCAAATAGGTATTTCCCTGAGCCCTCAAGTGCCCCTTCCACTGCCCTACTGTCCTGGTCACCCTCATAACCAGCTTACCCTCCCTACCAGCCAGCAATAAAAGCCCTGGCCTGGTAGGACCCTCCAGGATGGTTCCCCACTGTGCTTGTGTCTGTTCCCATTGGCTTGATCTAACCTTTATGACTGCTAAATAATTTGCCTTCATCCCTACCTTTAGGTACCCGAAACGCCTGCACAAGGTGGTGAGGAAACTGGTCCCAAACTGTGACGTCCGCTTTCTACTGTCAGAGAGTGGCAGCGCCAAGGGGGCCGCCATGGTGACCGCAGTGGCCTGCCGTGTGCAGGCCCAGAGGAAGCAGATTGATGAGGTGCTGGCTTTGTTTCAGCTGACCCGAGAGCAGCTTGTGGGTGTGCAGGGCAAGATGCGTGCTGAGTTTGAGTATGGGCTGAAGAGGAAGACCCATGCACTGGCCACTGTCAAGATGCTGCCCACCTATGTCAATGGCATGCCAGATGGCACAGGTGAGTCAATGAAGCCCAGTTCTGAAGGGCCACCCGAGCTTCCATCAAAACCTCTAATTCAGTGAGGTGTTCAGTTTTTAGATCCTTAGATTTCCATCTTTAAGGAAGGCAGGGAGAAGGTTAGTCCTTCTTCTGAACCTGTGTCCTGCCTGGGCACACGCACATGTGTCTGTGTGTGTGGGTGAGAACACACGTGGGCCCCCTGCTGTGAGCAGGCAGGCATCCCAGATCTTGTCCTCAAGCCTCCCTCTAGATGCCTAGACTTGTCTGGAATTGCTTCATGCCTGTAATGAGGGATTCCTCTAGGCCAGTGGTGGCCACATGCTGGAGCATTGTTGTCATTGAAAGCTTTAAAAGGTTTGCCCTCACTGCTGTGCAGACAGGACGGGAATCCCTTCTGAAGTCTCTTCTAGTCAAGGTAGCCTGGCCTGGATTCACTCTTGAAGGCCTTTGAACACTTGTTTCAAGTACGTCCTTTACCGAATGCCCCGTACCTGGCACATGGTGCCTTGCTTGGGCCTTCCCAGCAGGCTCTCAGTCAATGGAGTTTAGAGCTGGAAGCTCCCTCAGAGACCCTTATAATTCTGCAGATATGGTGAGGGAGGGCCTTGCCACTCTTGCTCAAGATGGAAAGCTGTCTCTCAGAACCCCATCCAGGGCTCTTTTCATGGCACCTTACTGGTGGTAGTGTAGGTGGTATCTGGGCCTTTGCTATAGGGGAAGTAGAGCCAGGAAAGTCAGTCTGGCTTTAGTCAAGCTCAGGGTACCTGCCTGGGGCCTGATGCCCCTGTGGTCTGGGAGCCCAGGAGAGCAGGCTCCAGGTCTGCTTGGGCCGGGCATCTCCTGTCCTTCCCATGCCCTGACACAGAGCCCTGTTCAGTGTGTGCTGGTGTAAGGCAGTCTTCACTTTCTCCACGACAGAGAAGGGAAAGTACCTTGCTCTGGACTTGGGGGGAACTAACTTTCGGGTCCTCCTGGTGAAGATCAGAAGTGGACGGAGGTCAGTGCGAATGTACAATAAGATCTTTGCCATCCCTCTGGAGATCATGCAGGGAACTGGTGAGGAGGTGGGTACCAGGCAGAGGTATTATGTCCCATGGGTGCCAGCCTCCCTCCTCCACATCAGTGCCTGCCTTGTGTGAATGTCACTCTCTCTCTCTCTCTGCAGCTGTTTGATCACATTGTGCAGTGCATTGCTGACTTCTTGGACTACATGGGCCTAAAGGGGGCTCAGCTCCCTTTGGGCTTCACGTTCTCCTTTCCCTGCAGGCAGGCGAACATCGACAAGGTGAGACCACCTTGTGGGCTCACAGCCATCCTGGGAGGCCTCTGCATAGGTTTGTGGCAAACAAGGTTGATCAAGAGGTGGAATTTAGAAAGTGAGGACTAGACAGTGGGCTGCTTCTCAGAATGTCCAGGGTTCCACCGGGTCTGCGTGGCCTTGCTTCGGGCTGGGAGTTGGAGAGTGACTTGTGCCTTTGTTGGTCACAGGACAGGGCAGAGCGGTCTATACTGCAGATTAAGGAAGACAGGCTGCAATCTGTGCCAGTGCCCACAGTGCAGCTCCTAAGCAGGCAGCCTCTGGGCATGGACTTGCCCTTCTTTAGTGGCTCAGGATGTGGCCATAGCAGAAAGATCCAGTGCCTTCCCAAGACAGGACAGCCCAATGGACAAGAGCACAAGTTCTGGGGTCATAGGCTGCCAGGGCTGCAGCCCCACCTAAACAACATAAAATACATAAAAATAACCTTCTTGGAGGCTTACTAAAAATAGAGGTAGTGGTACCCACTTTGTAAGGGTCATGGTGAGGATTAAATGAGCTAATGTAGGTCACATACACACACACACACACGCACACACACGCGCGCGCACACACACACACACAACCTGTAGTGCTCATTATGTGCCAGACACAGTTCTAAGTACCTCCTGGATGTTCCCTGACCAGCCAGGTTGCCCGGATCTGAGTCTTGGCTTCTCACTTTCTGGCTGTGCAACCTCGAGCAAGTTATTTAACCTCTCCGTACCTTACTTTCCTCACTTGATGAATAGAGTACTTATTTTGTAGATGTGTTTAGGAGATTTTAAAATTTGTGTGCATTATACTTGCAGGGTATTTTGCTCAGTGAAGGAAATGTAGCAGATTCCTAAGAGGTGACCTAGAAAGGTCTGAAAGTTCAGTCTGAGCGGTTTAACAAGAACTTGTCTCAAAATAAAACAATCCAAAGAGCTGTGTATGAGTTTAGTAGAGCTCCCCCGTGTTCAGTCCCCACTACTGGGGAAAAATTAGATGTAGGCAGAGAATAATGTCTGGGTGGATTCCTGTTAGAATGGTAGAATTTAACCCCCAGACTGGGGAGATGGGGGGTGATGGGGCAATGGACCCTTATCGGTAACGTTCTAGTTTTTTGCAACGCTTATCTATTCCTGCTCTACTGCTGCCCCTGAAGATGAGCGCACGGAGAGCTGCGTGCTGCTGTCCACGGTTCTGAAGGTCGGGTGGGCGCCGCGAAGGGCTGCGCTGACCCAGGTCATAGGCTTTTCAGGGCCCCGTCTTCCACCAGTTCTGACAAGTTTACAAAAACACAGTGGGCAAGAGAGGGTGGGGAACTAGAAGCAAAGTCCCTATTGGCTGGGGAGAAAAAGATTTAAAACGATACATATAGTTTTATATAATTGCAATTTTTAGGAAAGAGACTTTTTGGTTGGGGTGCCTCTAATTGTCTACATGCGATACCCAGGAAAGGAGCAAGGGAGCCCAGTTTCTAAGGACTGTGAAGAGAAGGAGAGGGACTAGGGCTTGCTGGCTGGGGGCCTCTGGGTGAGGTGGCACTAGCCGCAGGGTTGGGGGCTGCTGTCAGATTTCCTGGCCATTTCTTCTGTCCCAAGGGCTCTCCTGGCCGGACACCCACCCCTGCCAGCTGTCCCACTCTTGGCTCTCTCAGCTGGGAAGCTAAGGCCAGTTAGCTCCTGTCTCAGGCTAACAGGAAGACTGGGCTTCTTCTTAAAACTCAAAACACTACTTTCTCAGTGCTATAACAAATTGTACATGTTAATGTTAGAAAAGTTAGAAAATAAAAACAAATAAAAAGAAATTAAAAGGCGCTCATTAATAATTCTGCACTCAGAGACAGCCACTGTCAACTCCTTTGGTATACATATTATTCCAGACCTTTGCCTGGGTTCAAGTGTATATTTATATATATATGTATGTATGTATATTTTTAAAAGTAAAAGTAGAACACCTCAATATCTGAATTTGTTTAATGAACTTCCACTTCATCGTGTGTAGTTAACACTGTTTCTCTAACATCCAGCGTTCTTTTGTTTCCTCATTGAGTTTATCGGTACACTGTAGGGACACAGTGCAGTTCATTCATCATTGGGATCTTGTCCCTTTGCGTGCCGGTGTTCTTACAGTGCGGTCATGTTTATGGCTATGTAACTCTTTTCTTTTCATTTCTTTCCCTTTCATCTCCTTCTCTTCCCTCCTCCTCCCCTTTCCCCTCCCCTCCCCTCTTTCCTTCTCTTCTCTTCTCCCCTCTCCTCTCCTTTCCCTTCCTTTCTTCTTTATTTTCTTTCCAGTTCTGAGGATTGAACCCAGAGCTTTACACAGGCTAGGCGAGGGCCCTTCCACTGAGATACATCCCTAGTCCCACGCAGCTTTTTTATATTGATGTATAAGATAGATTTCCTTGATATCACTGGAGTGACAGAATGCCTTTAGTTTTTCACCTTTTTGCTGTTGTTTGTTTCTTTGTTTGCTTTAAGACAGAGTCTCAGTGCTTCCGCTTCCTGCCTCGCAAGGGCAAGGACCTGAGTTCGATCCCTGGTACAAAATAAAATAAAATAAAATAAAAGACAGAGTCTCACTATGTAGCCCAGGCTGGCCTTGAACTCACAGTGATCCTCCTGCCTCAGCCTCCTGAGTGCTGGGATTACAGGCCTGCACCACCATGCACAGATAATTTTTCATTTTGAAACAGTGCTTTGATGAATATTTTGTAAACTTACCTTTGATCACAACTCAGTCTGTCTTAGGCTAAATTAGGAATGGGATCCCTCTAATCTCAGGTTTTAATTCTGGGTATCATGGCCAGGGACAGAGCTGACCCCTGAAGAATATGAGTTGCTGCAGTGATTCTACTCCACAGTGAATGTGGCCTGGGTGTCATGCTCTGTGACACCTCTACCACGTTCAGGCTGCAGAGGCAGACAACAGTCAAAAGCGCATGCATGCACTTCGCCAGCCGTCAGATTTAGTGCCCTGCATCTACAGGATGGTGAAGTTGGGCAGTGGTCCTCACAAACCTTTGCTTAGACAAACTTCCCCTTCTCTTTCAGGGAACACTCATAGAGTGGACCAAAGGCTTTAAGGCCACCGACTGTGAAGGGGAGGACGTGGTGGACATGCTCAGGGAAGCCATCAAGAGGAGAAATGTAGGACTTGGTATTGAGGCTCGTGCCTGACCTTGTCCCCTGGCCTGAGGTCCCTGTGCTCTGTCATTCTATGCCCCAAGCCTCTGTTTGCCTGGGGCTGATGTGTCCCTTGTGCATTCTGTTTCCAGTAGAGCTGCTTCCTTTGCAGGAGTTTGATCTGGACATAGTTGCAGTTGTGAATGACACAGTGGGGACCATGATGACCTGTGCTTACGAAGATCCTAATTGTGAAATTGGCCTGATTGCAGGTAAGTGGTGGGGCAGACCCCACTGGCTCAAGCCCAAGTTCCTTTTCAACATAGTGGGGTGTGTGTGTGTGTGTGTGTGTGTGTGTGTGTGTGTGTGTTCATTGTTCTATTATACAGAGGTCCTGTCCAAGACAGAGATGAAATGAATTAAGATTGGGATTCCATGTTGCCTAATGCCCAGACCTCTACTTAATCTCTCGCTCCATCAAGGGTTCTAAAGCCAAGGTCATTCTTTTTGTCAGAGAAGGAAGGGACACAGAAGAGGGGAGGGCTTTTCACATTATGGCCTTGACCCTACTTTTTTGGGAGGAAGGAGATCATGGTTCTGTCACGTTGGCCTGGGGCTTAGGGAACTAGCTTTTCACATGGCTCTGAGGTGCACCTCCTCTGTTCTCTGGATTCCCGTGGCTTTCAGGGTACACAGGAAGGGGAGCAGTTGGAAGCTCACTTAGGAAAGGCAGGTAGCCGAGCATGGTGGCTTGTGCCTGGAGCCCCAGCCCTCTACGAGACCCTGGCAGGAGGATCACAAGTTAGAGACCAGACTGGGCAACTTAGTAAGACCCTGTCTCCAAATAAAGATAAAGAAGAGCTGCCATTATATCTCAGGGTGAAGGCCCAGGGTGCAATGCCCAGAACCAGGGAGAAACAAAAAAAGAGGAGAAGGGAGTTGGCTGAGATGATACAGGCATTTCAGGGACTTTGCAGGAAGTCTGGCTGTGGTCAAGGTTGAGGACAGATTCCAGAGGGACAGCTCTTCCCACGAGATAGTGGGACAGGTGAACATGAGGACAGAGGACATTGCAGGTGACAGGTGCAGAGGAGGACAGAGTCCGGGGAGGTTGTTTGATTGACTTGTCTGGCTTCCTGAATGTGAGTGGTAGATGGAGGAAGGGGTGCAGATCTTCCAAGTTATCTTCAGGCTTCGCCAGCTTGAGCCCTGCGCCCCTTCGTGAGCTCAGGCAGGTTGCCTATTTGGTCTGACCGGATTCCTCGTCTGTGCGAGGGTTGGCGAGATCCAGGAGGCCACAGAGGTGCCTGCGTGACTGATAATTTTCTGGGCCACCACACTGAGAAAAGTTCTGAGGCCAAGGTCGTGGGCAGGGGAGGAGAGAGCAGCTCCCAGATGCCATATATTTGCTTATCCAAGGCCAGTTGGTTCCTCTTGGTCCCTCCTCGTCCTCCCTGACTGTTCCTTCTCTGATTCTTTAGAAGCTTTGTGTGCTTGTGTCTTAACAGTGATGAAGAAGGTGGCAGATACTTTATTGAATATTTAGCATGTGGAGAAAACTTTCCATCACCTCATCTTTTCTCTATAACAAGTTCATAAGGCAGATGTTACTTCTTTTTTTTTGTGGTACTAGAAATTGAACTCGAGGAATACTGAGCTACGTCCCCAGCTTTTTTTTTTTTTTTTTTTTTTTTGGTACCAAGGATGGAACTTGGGACTTTGCCCTTGAGAGGCAGGTGGAAGAACCACTGAGCTAACCCTAGGTGACCCCCGAGCCCTTTGTATTTTAAGAGACAGGGTCTCAGTCACCTTAGCTGATTCTGAACTTGGGATTGTACTGCCTCAGCCTCCCAAGAAGCTGGGGTTCAGGCATGTGCCACAGACCTAAGCATGATTTCCCTTTTATACATGGAAACTGAGCTTCTGAAAGATGCGATTCTTGCCCATGGTCAGCCAGCTATGAGGACAGAGCTGGAATCACACCAGCTATGTGCGACCACAAGCCCGAACTCTCGCTCACTGCGCTCTGCTTCCTCTTTGTGACCCAGGGGTGTCCTTGAGGACTAAAGTCCATTCGCCTCCCCTCTAGGGACAGGAAGCAACATGTGTTACATGGAGGAGATGAGGAACATCGAGTTGGTGGAAGGGCATGAGGGGAAGATGTGCATCAACACCGAGTGGGGAGGGTTTGGAGATAACGGCTGCATAGACGACATCCGGACCCAGTACGACGTGGAGGTGGACGAGGGGTCCTTGAATCCTGGCAAACAGAGGTGAGTGGGGTGGATGTGAACGTCTGTGTGGGTCGTGCAGGGAGCAAGCTCTCCAGCCCTACGGGAAAGGAGCCATGTTCCTATCACTGACACCACAGCTGCACGTGTTTGTCCGTCAGATATCCATGAAGTGCCTCACGTTTCCACCAGGGAGAAGAAAGGGGACCCTTGCTGTAACTGCCACAGAGACTGTGGTGTCTCTGGAAGCGAGGGGAGGGGCTGTGCACGTGAGGAGCTGGGCCGGGTGACTTAGCCCTCGGGTGGGGTGAGGGGGCGGCCACTGGGATGGATGGGAGTCCCTGTTCTCTACACGATGTCACATCTCACCGTGTGGCACAGCGCCTTGGGAGGCTCATTCCAGTGACTCCCAACTGAAAGTAATGAGTGGCTTGAAAGAACGAGACTAGATTTTCCAGGACACCTTGTTGCATCAGAGAGGAAGGATAGGGCCGGGGATTTAGCTCAGGGGCACCGCCTTGAACTCTGCCTTGTAAGGGCGAGGTCCTGAGTTCCATTCCTGGTATCAAAAAAGAAAAAAGTGATGGCTGAGAGGAAGGGTAGACAGCGGTAGGGCCGGCACACTCAGCCTCGGTTATGTACCTGGGCCCACCCACTGCAATGGTACGTGTTTGAGGTTTTGCAGGCCATGTGATCTTTGGCACAACTAAGCTCAGTGTCTTAATATAAAATAAGGGACTGTGTTGATTTACTGTGATGGATGGTGCGCAGGCTGAGAGGCTGATCAGGGAGGAAGTGTGACAGATCCTTAGCTGAGGGCACCTTGGCCACTGTTCAGAAAGAGGCCAGCATGAGGCATCTCTTGCCTTCCTTAGTCTTTGCCACTGAAAGGCAGGTGAGCTGTGGCAAGCCCAGCTGAGCCAGGAATTGCTCCAAAAGGAAAGGCCTTATCTCCGATTCCCGTGTGGGGGCACCCAAGCGTTGTGGCCTCCTCAAGGGGCAAGTTCCTCCTGATATAGTTCAGCATCTTCGTCTGCTAGGGGCACACATTTCGGGACTGAGAGTTGAAGGCGGCAGAGTGCTTGACTTTGTCTCGCAGTTATCATTGTTTTCCTGTCTTGGCATTTGTTTCTTAGACTGAAGAGGTCCTGCATGGTTTGGAGAACACAGGTCCACCCCTGAGCCTCAGGTGCACTCCTGTGTCTGTTTGCCTCTGCAGACGGTGGGAGTTGAACTCTGTACCATAATGATGAACAGTGGTGGGATCCCTGTTCACCTACGTGTGCAGCGGGCCTTCTCACTTAGGGAGCCCTTTCTGTCTTGCTGTAGGCCCTCGTGGAGCTCACAGCCTAGCCTGGTGGGAAGGGGAAAAGGAACAAACCTTTTTTGAGCATGCTGATGCATACAGATACTTTAAATGTTATCTCATGGAGCCAGAAGCAAAGCTAAGGAGAATCTCTGGTACACCAGACTGCAGCACAAAGCCAGGGTGAATCGGCTCTGGGGCCAGGAGTGAACTAGATCAACTTCTGCTTAGTGCCTGCTGTGAGCCACACGCCTGCCTCCTACAAGTCCTGTGGGTCTGTCTTGCTCCGTGTTGCATATGACAACTCACAGCACTTGCTCACCATGCAGCCAGGCTGTGGAGAGCTGGGGCCCGGCTACCGGTCTATGTGGCGTCAAAGCCTGGCTTCCTCACATCGTGCTGTCTCCTGCATAGCATCTCTCTGGGTGTTGCTGGAGAGTCTCACTAGGCCCACCCTGAACCCCTGGCTGTGGGTGCCAGTGGCATGGCTTTCACACGTAGGCCCAGGGTGCTTTCAGAAACCATGTGCCAGAGCTGATGTTCTGTCTTCGCCAGCCTCACCCCTCTTCCCCGAACAGGTATGAGAAAATGACCAGCGGCATGTACCTGGGGGAGATTGTGCGGCAGATCCTGATTGACTTGACCAAGCAAGGTCTCCTCTTCCGAGGTCAGATTTCAGAGCGTCTCAGGACCAGGGGCATCTTTGAAACCAAGTTCCTGTCCCAGATTGAGAGGTGATGTGTGATCAAGTTTACCTGCTTGGTGTAAGATGCTGTGAATGGAATGTGCTGTCCTCACACCAGGGGTGGGCAGATCTGATAAAATAAAATCAGAAGGACCCTGGATGGGCAGAGGGTGGACTCCTCCTCTGCTCTGCCCATCCAGCTACCTCACATCACAGTCTAGAGCCAGCTATGCAGCTGGGAGGCCAGCAGAGTGCGTGGCCTAAGAGTGCTTAGCAGAAGTGACACGTCCTCCACCAACGTTCCCAGATAGGTGTACAGGAGTTAGGTCTAGACCAAGAAGTAGCCTCTTTTCCTGAGAAGATGATATATCTGTAATATGAAAGAAAAGTCTGGGGAAAAATTATTTTTATGCTTATAACCAAATACAGCCAATTCTTCTTTTTTTTTCTTTTTGATACCGGGGATTGAACTCGGGTCCTTGCGCTTATAAGGCAGGCCACTGAACCGCTGAGCTAAATCCCTGGCCCTACAGCCGATTTTTCTATATTATGTTCCCTTTTAGTTCTTGAATACATGCAAACTTTTTTTTCACAAATACAATCATATTACATATATGACTCATCTATTATTTGATTAACGTTTTTTGTGGCAATTTTCGTTTATAATTTTTATTTTACTTTTTTTGTTACTTTGTTTGTTTGAAACAGGATCTCACTATGTAGCCCAGGCTGGCCTCAAACTCACGATGACCCTCTTCCCTCAGTCTCCCAAAGGGTGAGATTATAAATATATACCACCAGGCCTGGCTCCTGGTTTTTATTTTTCTTTTTTTTTTGGAAAAGTTTTAAACATATATAAAAGTAGAGGGGAGATTAAATTAACTTAATATCTCTGTTCACATGCTCAATGATGATCAACTCATGGCCAAACTGTGTGCTCTTCCTGTCCCCACCTGGGCTGGGTTAACTTATTTATTTTATTTGTTTATTTTTGATACCAGGGCTCAAGTTCAGGACCTTGTGCTTGCAAGACAGGTGGGAGCACCACTGAGTTAAATCCTTAGCCCTATTTTAATTTAAAACAAATCTCACATTTTATTTTGATTTGTTTTTTTGAGACAGGGTCTCACTATGTAGTTGAGACTGACCTGGAACTCACTATTTAGCTCAGGCTGGTCTCGAACTCACAGCGATCCTCCTGCCTCAGCCTCCCAAATGCTGGGATTACAGGCATGCACCACCACACCCGACCATGGTTTCTTTTTTTTTCTTTTGGTACCAGGGATTGAACTCAGGTCCTTGCATTTGCCAGGCAAGCGTTGGAACCAATGAGCTAAATCCCCGGACCTTTTTTATCTTTTTGAGACAGGGTGTCAGCATGTAGTTCAGGCTGGCCTCAAACTTGCAGTGATCCTCTTGCCTCTGCCTCCTGAGTTCTAGGGTTGCAGGCATGTACCACTATACCTAGCTAATTTGGCTTGTTTTCTAAATGGAAATAGTTTTATTGACCTTTTGATTTTAAAACTATGCGTTGGTTGGGGCCGGGGACTTGCCTGAGTGGTGCCACCACCTGTCTCCCAAGCTCAGGGTCCCAAGTTTGATCCCTGGTACCGAACCAAACCAAACAAACAAAAAATAAACTGTGTTGGTTACGAGTAATGAAATAATAGAAAGTTACAGTTGTTGCCTAGGTCACTTTCTCCTCCCTCCCGCCAGGGCCTGTTGGGATGGAGAGCTGTGGGTCACGCTGAGTGGGTTCCAGGACCCTGGCAACCCCGTGCTAACATCTTGCACTGCTCACTTGCAGTGACCGCCTGGCCCTCCTCCAGGTGAGGAGGATCCTGCAGCAGCTGGGCCTGGACAGCACGTGTGAGGACAGCATTGTGGTGAAGGAGGTGTGTGGAGCGGTGTCGCGACGGGCCGCCCAGCTGTGTGGGGCAGGCCTGGCTGCCATCGTGGAAAAGAGGAGACAAGACCAGGGGCTGGAGCACCTGAAGATTACCGTGGGAGTGGACGGCACCCTGTACAAGCTGCACCCTCGGTGAGTGCCCGGGGCGCGGGGTGGGGCAGGAGTTGTGCCGGCAGCCGGCTTGGACTGGCACAGCCTCCTCAGCTGCAGAGTGGGAAGACGCATCCCACCTTTTTCTGGGAAGGGAGTGCTGTGTGGTGGTGAACTTACCTAATGGGGCTGAGGTAAAGGTGCGCCTCAGTACCCCTGCTTCCTGCTAGCATTGGGTGGACATATGAACCAGCCTCTCTCACCTCCAGGCTCCTCCTCTGTGCAGGGCCAGCAGCAATGACTGTGCCTCTCAGGGGAAAATGCATGCAGATTAAATGAGGGAATACATGTCAGGTGCTTCACACAGTGTCCACTTCCAGCAGTGTACACCATCATTATTATAGTCCCACTGACCTTGCAGGGTGGCTATGAGAACTGTTTTGTATGCAATAGAGCACTTGTCAAATATCAGCTCATAAATCCGTCAGTTCAGAGTCGGTAGACAGAAGAATTAAGAGCACAGATGAGACGTGTGAATTTGAATCCTGGTTCCATCATAGGGAAGGGAAGAGTCTGAGGGCAAGTTTCTTGCCCTTTTCGTACCTTAGTTCTTTTCCTGTAGAATGCAAACAAACATCCTACCTACCTCCTAGGTGGTTGTGAGGATTGAATAGATAGCTTCATTGTTAATTCAGTTTCACATTTTATTTTGGTAGAAAGGAGCTGTAGTAACAAGCGCATGCCATTTTAACCATGCTGAAGAGTATTTGTGAAGGCCTTATTACTGTCGTCACCCTCAGCCTCCTCTGAGGCTGACAGTTGACTTGTGTCTTCTGTTTCCCTTGTCTCATTCTTACAAGTCTCTCCCTTCAGCCAAGACTTGTCCAAGGGGTAGAAGCTACATGATTGTTTCCATAGATGCAGACAAAGAACCTGCTAAAATCTGACATCTTTTTATGATAAAAGCGCTCAACAAATGAGTACTAAGGAGGATAAAAAGATGGTTTATGGGAAAATTAGTACAGAGGGATGGGTGAGTGAAATTTGATACTTTTAAAACTTAAAAAGTTGGGGGAAATTTTGAACAAACAAAAGGAGGATTTTGGGAAAAGGTAGGCCTGGCTCCAATCCTGACAAACATGCTACTTGTACAAATTTGGACAAGTTTCTGAGGTTTTTATGTATTTGAGACAGTGGTAATTCTTTTCAAAGCATGACTTGTTATACTTTGACATTCCGTGATGTTAGTAATTGTGAGGTAAAATTACACCACTGTTTAAAAAGTGACTTGAGAGCTGGGCGTGGTGGGACACGTCTGTAATCCCAGCATTTGGGAGGCTGAGGCAGGAGGATCACTGTGAGTTCAAAAACCAGCCTATGCTAGTGAGTTCCAGGTCAGTCTCAACTACATAGTGAGATCCTGTCTCAAAAAAACAAAACAAACAAACAAAGTGACTTGAGGCCTCAAGATGTAAGTTCAGAGGAGGAAACCAGATGAGAATAATTTATCAATATTCTGATCCTGTATACAAGGGCTGATGATCCCTCTCTCTCTCTCTCTCTCTCTCTCTCTCTCTCTCTCTCTCTCTCTCATAGCTTTTCTCTGGTATTACAGGAAACAGTGAAGGAATTGGCCCCACAATGTGACGTGATGTTCTTGCTGTCGGAAGATGGCAGCGGAAAGGGAGCAGCTCTGATCACTGCGGTGGCCAAGAGGCTGCAGCAGCCACTGAGGGAGAACTAGGAGTCCCAGGCTGACTGATGCAGCTCGGATCCTGCCTGGCCCCTCCTCTGACAGATGAGTGGCCAGGGACAAATAGGCTGCCTCCTGGCCGACTTCTGCTCCATAGCTGGACGAGAACCTCTGGTCTTCCGGTCTCTTAGCATCTTGTTATTGGTTTTGCATTGGCTTTAAAAGACACTTCCATTTGATATATTTGGGCCAAGGCTAGGCCAACTCTCTGAAATCAGAGAGATCCCCTTTCAACAGGATTTTAAGTTAAGGCCGGAGGGGCCAGTTCTCTGCAGCTTTGGGTCCTGTGGTGCCCGACTTGGAAATGTAAATAGACTTCCGCTTGGCTGGATTCCTCCTTGGGACACTTGAGCCTGCTTGAGTGCCAGATTGGTCCTTTGCTTGCAGATGAACTTTTGAGAGGGAGAGAGGTTCATGTAATGCACTGGGGACCTAATCTTTAACTTACCATGTTGGCTTCAAGCATGAGGCAAGAATAAAGCCTTTGGAGTATTTGGCCCTGGGATGCAGAGCGCTGAATGCCAGGGAGTCCTATAGGAATCTTTCACACTTCCAGGGAGCCCCATGAGCTCCCTGTAGGATTTTGCTCCTTAGTACCTGTGCCATGGGGTAGGGTGTGCACGATGCATGTTTTTTATCCTGCGTGTAATAGGGTTTGTGTTGCTGCTGTCCATATTTGTTTCAAGGACAGTTAGGACTATGAAATGAATAAATGTATTTGATTTCCGAAGAAACTTGACATGAGGTGTTACTCTGTCTTCTGGGAGCCTCACTTGGGATTGCCATGTCATCTTAGTAGAAAAAGGGACCACTGAGCCAGAAGGCCTGAAAGGTCTTAGCCCAAAACCTCCTACCAGCGGGGGGGGGAAATAGATGGAGCATTTTTGACAATATCCTTAAGAGTTTATCCATGGGGCCGGGATTTAGCTCAGTTGGTTCTGCCACCTGCTTTACAAGTGCAAGGTCCTGAGTTCAATCCTCGGTACCAAAAAAAAAAAGTTTATCTGAATTTTTTGTTTGAATAACTACTTCTGATTCTACCACTCATTTTGAATGGCTGGAAGTCTGTTCGGTCCTCTTTCTCCCTGATCCAGGTCCATCCCACACACTCTCTGAATTACCTTTCACTTTCTACATGTTGGTTAGTTATCCACATGAGTTTCTTGTAGTCTGTAAATTCTTTGTCAGGCACAGTTTTGTTTTTCGGGGTTATTTTTTTTTTGCCTGAGTGAACCCAGCACTGTCCCGGGCTTATTAAACACTTGCCAGAGAGAGGCATGATGGGAAAATAAAGCTTTTAAAGAAAATTTCCATGGAAAAATTGGAGACCATTGTCCTAGGAAACAGAATGAGAAGAATAATGCTCAGCCAGCCCAGGCTGATTTTATGTACTCAGTTATGTACTTTACACTGCCTCAACGTCACAGTGTTTTTGGCTGCTTCTCCGGGAGGCTCCTGTGCTGCGTGTCACCGCCTGCAGGATGTTCAGACAGAACGAAGGAGACCAAGTCCGGAGCTGTGTGAGCCAGGTCAGCTGAGGCTGGGGAGCGTTGAGGGAGCTGAAAGATCCTCAGGAAATGCTTTCTTGTATACTGGATAAGTGTGTTCGATGATACTACTGTGAGTGGGTCCTGGTTACCAAAATTAACTTTGCTTTTTGTTTATTTATTTATTGCTGGAATTGAACCTAGAGCCTTGCATGTGCTTCGTATCCTGATGGCAACTTTTAAACATTTTCAGGTTATACCTCTCTGGAGAAATGTATATATTTATTAAATTTGTCTTTTGATGACCATGCCTCTTTGGGGAAGTGATCTATCTACTTTATCAGATTTTGTCTTCCTCCACAGGAAGCCTGGCTGGCCCCCGTACCTTTCCCTAGTTCTCTTGCTTCTTTTCAGCACCCTCAGCTCCTGTCCTTCTGCCCCTCTTCACCGTCCTTCCTGGGCAGAGGCAGGTTGCAGGCCCCAGTGGCCTGGTCTCAGCTATAGGGGAGGATGGAGGAAGTCACCTGGCCTATTCTCTCCTATTCCTGGTCTTTTAGAAAGAAGAGCCTGAGGTATCTAGGCAACCTTGCACATTCTGACTAATTGATGGCATCACAGAATCCTTGAACCAGAGCTGGGACTCCAGGGGGGCAGACGAGCCAACTCTGGAATTACCCCTGGCAATGGAGGGCCCAGACCAGGTAAGACCAGCACGTGTACCTCGCAGACATTTCCTCTTAAAAAGAGCATCTTTTTCGACATCGTATAACCCTGTAGCTACTTTATCCTAGTAAAGTTTGGTACCGAAATTGCTGCTAGCTATAGATTTGAGGGTTAAGTTTTCCCCGGGACTCTGCCTCTCCAGAACATCTGCTCTTATTCCATTTTTTTTAGAACTCTTGTTTTGTCTTTTTCCCGTTAGCAAGATCAGGAGTTCCATCAGAATAAGAACTTGAGCCTTATTCTCTCTGTTGTCCTCAGAGCCTCCCACCAAGGCTGGCATTAAGTAGCTATGGGGCAGCTCTTTGAACAAATGAATCGAATGAGTGAATGTGTAAACCAAGCGCAGGGAATCGAATGGCTTTCCTTTGAATCTCTCCATTCTTCTGCCTCACCTCAGGCCTTATAACAATGGTTCCATGTCTGCCAGCCCCTCTTCCAGGCACTGTGGACCCAAAGAAGCATGACTTCATGCTGGGCTGCAGAGGAAGGGAAAACATAAGTATCTGTGATACAATGTGGTAAACAGGAACAAGGTGAAGACAGTTCCTGACCATGGTCTCTATCCTTTAGATTAGGAACTCTCAATGCACACACGCAAGTGTGCTTGTGTGTGTATGTACATGTGACCCCTTCTGGCAAATGTGTGAAACTTAATTTTCTTTTCCAGAGTAATGTTTTTGCTTTGTGATACCAAGGACTAAACCTACAGCCTCATGCAAGCCAGGCAAGCACTCTACCATTGAGCTGTAGCCTTCAGCCCTTTTCATTTCAAGATAGGATATCACTAAGTTGCTCAGACTTGCCTCAAACTTGGAATCCTCCTGCCTAAGCCTCCTGAGTATCTGTGTGTACCACCATACCTGGCTTAGAATAATATTTTTAGAATTACAGAGCAAACCAACGGTATTGAATGATAGTTATTAAGAAAGTAGTGACATAATAATACATACGATTTTTTTTTTTTTTTGCAGTGCCAGGGATCAAACCCAAACACCTCACATATGCTAGGCAAGGGCTCCACCACTGAGCTACACCCTCAGCCCAGTAGTTTATTAACATGGTATATAATAAGATCCATCAGAACTTATTCACATTGGTAATGTTGAAGTCCTGATGAATGAAAATGGTATCTTGAGATATTTGCAGCAAGTGCAATGAAATACCCGTGGTTTTTGCTGGAGACAAAGTTACAGGCATCGCTAACACTACCTTGTCTCTTGTCTCTACAGAAACATTGAGAATTTTCCTTTTGTTTTATGATATTCTATTATCTAGAATGGATTTTCCCTTTATCTCTTGTTAGTACCCTTTGACTTTTCAATCCAGGCACTCCATTTTTACTAATTGTAGAGAATGTATCTGTTTTTTATTCAAACATTTTTAATCTGTTTTAATTTCCTGTCTTCTGGACTTCTGTTTCCCAGAGGTGTTGGGAAGGTGGTTGGATGTTACATGGGGCGACCAGCGAGGCCCGTTTAACAGGGGACATCGAGTAGAGACCTGAAGGAGCTGAGGGTGCAAGCTACGTGGACGTCTGAGGCAGAGCCTCCCAGGCAGAGGCTGACTGGGAGCTTGAGTGGTGTTTTAGCAACAGCAAAGAGCCCAGTGCAGCCAGCACAGAGTAAGGGGAGACAGAAGGTGAAATTAGAGAAGTAATGACAGCCTCAGCACATAAGACTTGGAGGTCTTTGAAAGGTCTTCAAGAGCTGGGCACAAGCCTGTAATCGTAGCACTCTGGAAGTCTGAGGCAAGAGGGTTGGAACTGGGAGCCCAGCCCGGGCAATTTAGCAAGTTAGCAAGATTCTGTCTCAAAATAAAGGTGGGGAGGCTGGGGATGTAGTTCACTGCAAAGGCCCTGGGTTCGATCCCCAGTAGTGAGAAAAAAGTTTTTAATTTTGATGATGTCTCATTTATTATTTTTTTCTTTTGTGGCTTTAAAAAAAATTCTATCTTTTGCTTGGCATGGTGGCTCGCACTTGTAATCCCAGCACTCAGGAGGCTGAGGCAGGAGGATTGCTTTGAGCTTGAGACCAGCCTGGGTTACATAGTGAGTTCCAGGTCAGTCTCAACTACATAGTGAGACCCTGTCTCAAAAACCAAAAAAAAAAAAAAAAAAAAAAAAAATTCTTTTATTTGTTTGTTTTTGTGCTTAATAAGGACCTTGTGCTTATGAAGCAGGCTGCAGAACCACTGAGTTAAATTGTTAAATCCCTGGCCTAAATTTTACCTTTTAAAAGCCCACTAAAACCTTTCCCTAAGTTTCTATTACTTTTCAGCTATCTTTATGGTATATTACACGCGTAATATTTCTAGTTCTTTCTTACTTCACCTTATTTTATGTACTTATTTTCTTCCTTATTTCATAAATATATATCCTCCCTATTTTACATTCTTGGTCTGCCTGACCTAAATTTTCTGTTTCTTGTAGTATATGTTTCCATTGACATTCTTTTCAGGTAGTTTTCTTCTTCACCTATCTGGTGAGTGTTAGGTAAAAAGAGCCAAAAACCAGGACCAGACCAGGACCATAACAAGCCTTTATTCTGGGTAGGATCTGCTGGGCTGTCTCTGAACAAAGGAGAGAAAAGCAACATGGCCAAACAGGGAGCAGGGTGGGGTTGAGTGATGTAGTGGCTAGGGATTTGGGGAACTTGTGACATCACTAGGAGAGGCTGTGACATCACTAGCTGCTAGGAGGTAGCGAGTATCAGGTTACCCTCTTGGTGGGAAGAGTGGCATGAGGGGAAAAAGGCTGTCCTTTAGTGGGAGAAGCCATATTTTTAGGTGAGAAGCAGGGTGTTATGGGAAGGGAAGGCTATTCTTTTTATGTAGCGGCCATCTTAAGGTGAGGGAAATCTGACATTCCAGGCTCTTGTTTTATAGTTATTCAGTGAAGGTCTCTTCTACTGGAGCTGCTTCAAGCTGACAATGGGGTGAAGGCTGGGGCTAAACCTAGGTTTTGGGGGGGCAGCAGTAGATGGGGGCTTCTTCCACCATGACGAGTTCTGTGACTATCTGGTTGGTAAATGCCCTCATGTGTTCCTGCAAGAAATTTTGAAAACACCAAAACAGACAGGGACCTATCATGATTAAAAGACATCTTCTACTGGAGCTGCTTCAAGCTGACAATGGGGTGAAGGCTGGGGCTAAACCTAGGTTTTGGGGGGGCAGCAGTAGATGGGGGCTTCTTCCACCATGACGAGTTCTGTGACTATCTGGTTGGTAAATGCCCTCATGTGTTCCTGCAAGAAATTTTGAAAACACCAAAACAGACAGGGACCTATCATGATTAAAAGACACATACTCTGGTCTATTCCCCAAGAATCCCATGGTCTCTTTCATTCTTCAATGCACTGCTGTAATTTTTTAACCTTTGCTTTAACAATCCCTGACTGGTTAGCAGAATAACAGCATTCTTTGCCTAGCACCTGGCACATTCCCCTTTGGGCGGCTCTCAGCATGTCAAGGGCCCTTCTATTTTGTATCACGATTGCTGCTAGAGAATTTATTTGATCTTGCACTATATTAAGGACTGGCTTGTTTTATCCATGTCTTCTGAAATCTCTATGGACAGGGCCTGATAGAATTGTGTGGATGTAGAAATGCCTGCTATGCCGTTGCCATCCCAGTGAGGATCCCCCCTCCCATTAAGAAAGGGACTAGAAGGGGAGCTGCCCTTTTTCTGATTGTGTTCTGTGGGAGAACTTGTTTAGACATCTGGGCTTCTGTATAATTGGTCACGGGAGGGCTAAGGAAGGATATACAACAGAAAACTGACTGAGACATCGGAATGCCTCTTGGTTACATATGAAGTACAGGCTGTTGGATAGGCAGATCGGATGTTCTGCAGACAAAGCGGGACCAAGTAAATGAGTAAGGTTGTTATCATTTCCCGTACATGTCACGTTCTTAGTTGTGTGGGGAGTGGGAGGCTCATAACAAAGGGTTCCAAAACTCTGGAGAGGTTGTTTTCATCAGGTTCTAACATTAAAATCTAGGGGGACAGGGATTGGGGTGAACAAGCAGGGGTACACAGATACATCCAGCAGTCAGAAATATTGGCTGGGGGGTAGTGGAGAGTGGTATTGAGTAGACATTGTGATCTTTGTTGGGATTGGTTATCTGGTTTTCCACTTAGAGATCTATTCCTTTGTAAGGAGGTGGGGTGGTGGGCCTCAAAAGTGTATTGATAGTGCCTGTTCATTGTCTCTTTTGGTTATTCTTTTCTGCTGGGCGTTTAAGATCAAATAAAGTGAAACCTGTCAAGATCAGTTAAGTCTCTTTAGGCATTATTTTGGAACCATGCATACAGCCTCTGAGTGTCAGCTCCTGTCAGTGTCAGCCATTAGGATGGATTATGGGCCTTGCTGGACCAAGTTGCTTTCAGTGAAAGTGTGGGAGATTTTTTTCTTGGTGACCCTCTTTTGGCACATGTTAAATTTGTCCTCTGGAGTCCAGCAATTCCCTGCTCAGGAGGCTGTGTGACCAGGGAGGCTGTGTGACTTACCAAAGATGTAAGGCATTGTAGAAAAAGTTCCTTCATATCTTGGATCTTTGATAAACTTGGAGGGGCAGGGCCAAAATACTGGTGAATTCCTTAGCCGAGTTACCTTTTAGTGTTGGTCTCTGCACTTTGATGGTTGAACACCCAGAAGAGAAGATCAGTGACATCAGTAGTACAGTAGGAGCTTAACTATTATAACTTTATCTGGACAGCAAGCACTCTGGAATCTAAAAATAGTTACAGGACTGCTATGTTTATCAATCATGGTTCTTCTAGTAGTTGAAAAAACTTTGAATCAGGAGCCACACATAATATTTTAGCATGGCAATCATGATGACATTATCTTTGTAACAAACTTAGATACGTATCTTAATATAAAATAGCCATTTTTAAATGTATTTACTCTCCTCTAAAAACACATAAAAAACCAGGAAACTCTTAAGTTATCTTTTGATAAGGTGCCATGTAAGAAAAATGTATGGGCCCACAAATGTACCTGTAATCATGAGTAAGTGGAGCACAAGAGGAGGGCAAATACCTGAATCAAAAGGTTATTGCCAGTCAAGCGTGGTGGCGCACGCCTGCAATCCCAGCACTAAGGAGGCTGAGGCAGGAGGATCACTGTGACTTCGAGACCAACCTGGGCTGCATACTGAGTTCCAAGTAAGTCTCAACTACATAGTGAGACCCTGTCTCACAAAACAAAACAAAACAAAAAAAATAATAAAGGTTATTGCTATAAATAATATGTTGGAAAACCTGTAGAGTCAGAAAACATGAATATATTTTGTACACCAGAGAAGTAGTAGTAATAACTATTATAATTATATGAAACATTATGACCTATATTGTAGTCTAGTACCAAAAATATCCTTTTTAATAACTCCTTGTTTTTCCACAGAAAATATTAATTTTGAAGAGGACTATTATAAACATATCACAGTAACATATTTAGAACTCAACCCTTTGATGATAACCAGTGTAAACATTTTATAACAACAGATTTACCAATGTTTATTGGGGGCATATTTTCCCATAAGGCTATAAAAATTATTGGGGCTCCCATTAGTGAACAAAGACCAGAATGAATTTTTCTGAGCAGCTGTTTTTTTATTCACCAACAAGAGTCTATCCAAACCTTAAAGTTTATATTTAACTGTCTTTTTTTTGGTTTTTTGATACAGGGTCTCACTGTGTAGTTGAGACTGACCTGGAACTCACTATGTAGCCCAGGCTGGTCTCGAACTCACAGTGATCCTCCTGCCTCAGCCTCCCAAGTTCTGGGATTACAGGCATGTGCCACCATACCTGGCTTATATTTAATTATCTTAACAATTTTTTATTTAACCTGTAAAACCAGGTTGTAGAAATTAACAATTTATTTGTATCTTTGATGTCATTTTGATCAAAAAATATAATTGGACAAATGCTTTCAAACAATTGGACAGACACAGACAAACATATAAGATAATTTATGAAACTAGAGTGCACTCAAAATATATTTGGCCAATTGATTTATAACATCTGTAAAAACTAGTCAAAACTTTTGCAGGTTATTTAACAGCGATCTCTTGTAGAATTAGAATCAGGACTGTAAATGTAAACCTTTTATAACAAGCTTGAAACCAACAAGCAAACATATATATTCTTTGACAAATCACTTCTGCATATCTTCTCAACATACCTAGGCCTTCTGGTCTTGTGTATCTCTAGTCTTCTAGCAAGACAAGCATACAAAATCTTTTTATATCAAAAGTATATCCCCTTTATTTGTAGCCTTTTAAAAAATATATATTTTTCCATCTCATTTACTATAAACCTTTCATAACAAACTTGGCTTCAGTTGTTAAAATTTTAAAGTCTCCCTTTTTATATTTCCTCAGTGTTCAAGAAAGTACAGAAAGAGCAAGTTAACCCTATAATTACAATGTAAGAATTTGTAATGTGGAAGAAATGTTTCAAGCATACTAATTAAACATTACTTTAAACTGGAGGTGAAGGCACATTTGTCAATTAGCCAGAGGGGGGAATGATAACAAAGTTCCTGCCTCGAGGTGGGTGTAGGGTCAAGAACAGAGATTATTTATGGTGTCCAGTGACATCTGAGATACAAGAAGAGCCTATTATGTCCTGTAGCCCCGGAGTTTTACCTCTGCCTTAAATATAGAAAAATGGTAACCTTGAGATACAGAGACCCATTTACTTTGTAAGTGAAACAACAACAACAAAAAATCTTATACTGTTTTAGAAACAAATTAACTCCCAGTTGGCTTGCAGATACAGAAGGAAGACAACAACCCATTAAAGGTAAATTAATTTTTTGTACAAATAAGCAAACTTGAATGCCAAAGCTAAAGGAAGCTCACACACCTATGTTATAGTAATTTTAAGCAAATAAATCCAGACAGTAACATATACAAGACTAGAGTAAAATGGTGTTCTACCAAGAGGGGCCTCACAGTCAGAACAACCTTTTACAAAGTGATCGCTGGATCAAAAGTAGTTACTTCGGAGCCTGGGCGGAGGTCAGGTGGAGGAGGGAGTTGCTTGGGCAAGGAGGATGGGGGTGGAGCAGGAGGGTGGGCAACAGAGTTAGGGCTAGAAGTATCTGAGAGGACCAACAGATTTGACAGAGGAAGGGGCGAGAAAGAAGGCTGTAAGTAGGGGATTTCTGACCACTTGTCATTGCATTGACAAAAATTGCATAAATTGCTCAGTATGTTAAAATTGCAAGTGCCATTTTCAGGCCATTGAGATTTATTATCTAATTTGTACTGAGGTACTTAGTTGCAATAAAAAATGAGTCATTTTTGCCTACAGTTGGGTCCCAACAGTGCAAAGGGATGACATTGTGCCAGGAGGCAGCCAAGAGCATTGAGGGAAGGGGTTTAGATTGTTGGATGCCCGTTAGGGAGGGTAAGGGGGAGTTAGTTTCCTAGGAGGAGGACAACAGAGAGGAATGTCTTTGTCTCTTTTGATACTTCCGGAGCCAGTCCCCGGAAGGGGAAAACAAGAGGAGTCAGCCCCATGGACAACCCCCAGGGGCATTGTCCTGGACCCAGTGGCTCAAGCGGGTCTCTCTAATCATTGGATTTCTGAGTAGTCCCCAGAGGGAGAAAAAGAGAATGAGACAGAGGACCCGAGCAGAGGGAAGCTAAATACCTACTCACCCTGAAATCAGTGACCGGTGTGGATGTGAGTCGTCACCAATGACAAAAGTAGAAAACCCCAAGGAGGTCTTGGCTCAGCAGATGTGGCCCGAAGGAGGTGGCCAAAAGGCCAATCAGCTCCAGGGGATTGTCACTTAATGGACCACCTTCCTCCCGGGTTTCCGCACCAGATATGTTAGGTAAAAACACCCCAAAACCAGGACCAGGCCTGGGCCATAACAAGCCTTTATTATGGGGAGGATCTGCCAGGTTGTCTCTGAACAGAGGAGGGAAAGGAAACATGGCAAAACGGGGAGCTTCTTTTATAGCAGCAGGGTGGGGTTTCATGATGTAGTTGGCTAGGGATTTGGGGAGCTTGTGGCATCACGAGGAGGGGCTTGTGACATCACTAGCTGCTAGGAGGTAGCAAGTATCAAGTTACTGTTTTGGTGGGAGAAGAGGCATGATGGGAAGAAAAAGTGTGTCCTTTGTTGGGAGAAGTCATATTTTAACATGGAGGCTGCTATTCCATGTGGCACTGTCTTAAGGCAAGGGAAATCTGAGTTTGCCCTGTGAGCAACTAGGCATGAAAGGGTCTCCCACTCCTCTATCTTGGAATATATCCTGGGTCAGGGCCATACTGGTCTTCATCCTTTCTGAAGAGTTCAGTGAGAGGCAGACTCTAGGGTGGAAAGTCCTGGGTGCCCTAGGTTCTCTAGTAACTTTCCTGTTGGCCTCGAGCCGCTCTTGGGCAGAGCTTTTAGGACTGGCCTTTACTTTTTCTTTTTCTTTTCTTTTTTTTGAGACAGGGTCTCACTATGTAGTTGAGACTGCCCTGGAACCCATTATGTAGCCCTGGTTGGTCTCAAACTCACAGTGATCCTCCTGCCTCAGCCTCCCGAGTGCTGGGATTATAGGTGTGTGCCATCCTGCCTGATGGCTTTTACTTTCTTTCTTTCTTTCTTTCTTTCTTTTTTTTTTTTTTTCGGTTTTGGTTTTGGTTTTATGAGACAGGGTTTCATTATGTAGTATGTAGTTGAGACTGACCTGGAACTCACTATGTAGCCCAAGCTGGTTTTGAACTCACAGTGATCCTCCTGCCTCAGCCTCCCGAGTACTGGGATTACAAGTGTGCGCCACCATGCCCAGCTGGCTTTTACTTTCTTAGGAGGAAGCAGTGCTGGGAGGCAGCATGGGACTGTGACCCATCACCCCAGGGTGGGGAGGGAGTGCCTGAGAGTAAGCATCCCCTGCTTTCTTAGCTCTTCCCCAACAGAGCTCACTCCTGATCTGCCACCTGTCCTGGCGTCTGAGATCTTCCTGCAGAAGGAGCATTTATTTATCTGTGGTACTGAGGATTGAACCCTGGACCTTGCACTTGCTAAGCAAGCACCTGACCGTGGACATATACCCCCAGCCAAGAAGCAGAATGTAAATCATTCCTCTCTAACCTGCACCATTTTCACCTAGAAAGTCATTTTATACGATGCAATTAATACTCAGGGACATACTGTTTTCATTGCCAGTGGTAATAATAAAAATGAAGTTTTACTCTACGCATTGCTCTTTTTTTGCCTAATAGTAAACTTTATCATTAAGCTTTTTATCTTATTAAAAGATTGTGGGCAGGAGGGTGGGGATTTAGCTCAGTGGTACCGCGCCTGCCTTGCAAGTACAAGGTCCTGAGCTCTTTTCCCGCCATCACACACACACACACACACACACACACACAGTTTGTGGGCAACCATTATATTTCATATTATCTTTTGCAGTTTTATAGCTCTGTATATGCTGAAATAAAATACTACTTACAAGGTACCCCAGTACTATGAAAACTATTTTATAGTAAATGGCAGAGAGAAAAGGGACAGAGCTGGGTACGAAACCCTGAGGGTGGCTTTAAGGATGAGGAGGCAGAGGACCCAAGACTGAGAGTTCCGGGGAAATGCACGGGTCAGTCAGTGTCCCAGGCCAGATCTACCTCCTTACAGCCGCCTCAGCTCCATCACCTGAATTGCTATAAAGTATTTACTGCTCATACCGCGGCTGCCTGGCCTGCTTTGCTACGGTATGTGCATGTTTAATCTGTATTTGGCCCATTGAAGCTTTTGGAAGGCTTTGTAGCTCTGCCCCCAACCCACCATGCCCTTCTCCTGCAGGGCCTGGCACACAGAGCGCAACACTTGCTGGGTCACAACAGAAACCCACCCATTGCTCCAGGAGGGTACAGCTGCACGGTCAGTGTCTGGCCCAGATTCCAGTCTGCCTCGCTTCGTGAGCCTGCTTCTGAGGTCCAGGAATGCAGAGCCTGGGATGGAAGCTCAGATCTGAACTGGCAGACAGTGTCTGGGGCTCTGCACAAAAGAGAATTGAATTGCAGGTCAGCTGAGACTTCGTGTGACAGCCCGGCGCCCTCGGCCTCGGCCTGGAGCCTGTGGGAAGTGCATAGCTGGCATTTTTTGCCTTGAGATTAGGAAGTCTTTTGCTTCTTGTGTGAGGGGGGTTGACTTCAATGGACTGTGACGGTAGGATGGAGTCTACTTGTTTTTTTGTTCGTTTTGTGTTTTTTGGTAAAAATGAAGCAGAGACTTAGCTCGGGTTATTATGAGGTGGAGGGCAGATGAGCTCGCTCTCTGGTGCTTGGCGAGTGGCCAGCTTGGGAGCCTGGCCATGTTTCTGTCTGGCATTATCAAGCGTGTTGGGAAGCTGAGATCACAGCCTTGGACGGGAGTGAGTTTCTTCTGTGACTCTCAAAGACCATCTTTATGCCAGGAATGTCAGAGTCCATTGCATAGTAAGTTTTTTTTTCTTTTATGTTTTGTTTTGGTTGGTGCCATATCAGCACTTAAGGGCTGGTGTCATTTCCAGATGGTGGAGTCCCCAGAAGCCTTGGGGGTGCTGGGGGTGAGAGATGGACCGGCTGAGAGCAGGGCTATGTTCCCAGACTTCAGCCAGGCTCTCTCGGATGTGAGCTAATCGTCTCCTCCCTTCCTTGTAGCACAAGAGATGTTGAGACAGCATGCAAGTGCCAACCTGAAAGAGAATTTATGTCCTTATTTTGTTCTCCATTGCATCTTGCTTTCTCAGAGATGGGTCCTTTGTTAGCATAGTCTTTGGAGTGGAACTTGTCCAGGGGCAACTTTACTTTCTTGTTTTGGAGAAGAATTCAGGTAGTGACCCATTACAGGGAGCCTGAGGAGGATGGGCTGGGCTTGGACAGGGGCTGCAGGAGGAGGAAAAGGGTTCATGGAACATGTGAATGACCGTACACATGGTTGGACTGATGAGGAACCACAAAATGACATAGAAGCATGTTTCTCCAGAAACTAATTAGATCTTGGGCTACGAAATAGTTAATAACAATGAAAACTTAAGGACACTGGTCCCCAAACTTCTTCCTGACCAGCCAGTTCATGAGTGAAGAGGTTAAGCCAAGCTACGTGGGAGTTACCAGTGACCTGGAGGACCCTGGAGGCTTGGGTCCAAGTTAGGAATCTGGTCCTTGTGACTTTTTGCAATCCCCAGAATGAGGTCTGGTCTACAAAGCCAAATGGATCTCCACTGTCCAGCAAGAGAACCAGAAGCATCTGTCACTTTCATCCTTGCTTTGACAAGAGTCCAGGGTCTTCTCTGACACTTCATTTGACTGATGAGTTTGCCTTTACCGAACCACTGAAAAGCATGATTGTCCTCAACCTTTTGCAGGCACAAGGAAGGACAGGAGGGTTTGCCTGCAAGAATCTAGAGCATTAAAGCTAATAGAGGGAAGGTATGGAGGGGCAGATTTCACCTCAGACTTACCCAGCAGACGATGGCGGAGTGGGGTTGCCTGTCTGGGTCTTGTCGTGGGTGGATGCTAAGGTCGCAAATTCATAAGCTGAAACTGACCCTGAGTGTGGTTCATAGAGGCGGGGCCTTTGGGAGGCAATGAGGTCGTGAGGGCAGAGCCCTTGGTACCTTTATAAAGGAGACCTCGGGAGCTCATTTGCCTCTTTGGCCAAGCGAGGTCAAGGGAGGAGATGCTGTCTATGAGAGCAAGCTGGTGACTTGATCTGGGACCTCCCAGCCTCCGGAAGTGGGAGCAACACATTCTGTCATATGTAAGTTACCCATCCGTGGCCATGTTTTATAGCGGCCCGAGGGACTGACACAGTGAGCGAAGGAGAGGATAAGATATGCTGTGCTAGGTTCTTCCCAATTCTTAAATAATGTGCGTCTACCTCCTGCAGCCTTAACCCATGGCACTTAACCTCTGAATTGCTAAAATCCTGTGTTTTATCCCCTGCTCCCACCCCTATCCTAGCTGCAGACTCCTACTAAATCTTTGCTCAGAATCTCATTTACAAATTCCTCTTCCATGAGGTGGACACGAGAGAGTGAGAACCAGGGTCAACAGCACTCTTAATGCGTGGAGGCACTTGACTTAGGCATCTAGAACAAGGCTTTCAAATTTTAATATGCCTGCTTGGTGTGGTGGCTTGTGCCTGTAATCCCAGATACTGGGGAGGCTGAGGCAGGAGAACTGCAAGTTTGAGGCCAGGCTGGGCAACTTAACCCTGTCTCAAAATAAAAGAAAAAGGGACAGGGATGTAGCTCAGAGGTAGAGTGACTCTGGCTTCAACCCTCAGTGCCACAAGCAACCCCTCCAAAAAAATCCCATAGCAAAACAACAACAGAACTTGAACATGCGGAATTGCCAGGAAAGTTTGTTGCAACATACACCGCCAGTTCTGTCCCTAGAATCTTCAGTAGGCTGGGAGGGAGGCCCAAGAATGTGCATTTCCAAACGAGCTCCTAGCTGCTGCTCTTAGGGGCAGGGAATGCTCCGTGGGACTCCTGCTCTGGTGGATTGAAACCAAGCTGACCCACTCACAGTTAGCCCTGGAAGCTGGAGAGGGCAGACGAGTAAGTAGCAGGGCATGTTTTTTTCTTCTTCCTCATCTTCCTCCTTGATCAAGGCTCACCTGGGGCCTGCCTCCGGGGCCTCCAAAGAAAACTCTGACCCACACCAATGTTTCCCAGTTCCAAAGTCACTTCCTCCAGGAAATCTGGGATTAGCTATCGTGGCTCCCCAGGCTTCTTCTTCATGACAGCCACCACAATTTGCAGTTGGCTGCTGTAGGTCATGTGATTTTTTTTTTACCCCCGTACTGGGGATTGAACTCGGGCCCCTGCACTTGCAAGGCAGGCAGCGGAACCACTGAACCAAGCTCCCCACCCTGGTCATGTGATTTTTGAATTGTCATCTCTCTCCTCCAGAACTGGTAAAGACTGAGGTTAGGGTTTATGAAGGAAAGCCAGATACAATGGTGCGTGCCTGTAGTCTTGCTGTTTGGGAGACTGAGGCAGGAGGATCACAAATTCAAGGCTAGCTTGAGCCATTTAGCTAGGCCCTGTTTCAAGGTAAAAATGAGGAGGGCTGGGGGCATGACTCACTGGCAGAGCACTTGCTGGTATGTGGGAGGCCCTGGGTTCAGCGCCCCTGTATGTTTTTTTAAAAAAGTGTAGGGATGAGGTGGTTTGGTTGGATGGGGAATGGTGGGGAGTCACCCATGATTGTGAACAATAAAAGAGAGTGAAAGAACAGGAGGTTTGCCCTTCATGAACAAAAGAAGGGATGGGAAGGAGGAGGAAGTGACTGGGGACACACATTAGAGCTTCAGCTTTCCGGGACTACTGTGGCGCTGGTCAGTACCATCTGGGGGTCCCTTGTCTATTTTGTTCACCACGCTGGATTTGGGTTGGTTTTATTAGCTTCTGTTGCTTATGCTTAGCACCACTTATTCTTAGCTACTGCATCCATAAATAGTTAAGACTTCAGGGCTAAAGAAAACAGAGTTCAAGTCCTAGACTTTAGCTTCACTGTCCACAAAGTGCTTTCCGCCACCTGGTGGAGTTAGGAAGTTTCCAGGAATCAACGTGCACGGCATCCTTAGCAAATTGGCCAGTTTGCACGAGGGCCCCAGGCACACAGGCGGCCTCTGTCATCACTGTCCTCATCCTCACTGACCTCCTCATCATGGACACCGTTTCTGCTTGCCCCCTCCCCCTATCACCACCCCGCAAGGCATCCGTGAAGTTCCAGGGGACAAAGAGCTTCCTAACCCTCAAGTCTTGTCTGAATGTCAAGGGCACCAAAGTGCCCCAACCCCTGCCCATGAGGCCGGCAGAAGATCCAAGGTCTGTGCCCTTCTTGTCTCCATAGGACACGGTGCAGGCTCTGTCCCTTTCAGCCCTGTGGTGGCTCTTGCTTTTATGATGAGTGCATCTTTTGTTTTCTTCTATTCTCAGGACTCCATCTAACCACCTGAAGAGCTGTCACACATAGAACATTGTTCTCAAGGGAGAAAAGAGCCCCAGCATCCACTTCTATGCACTTTGGGCCGAGCTGACAATCTGGTTGCAGGATGGCGTGTTGTACTTTTGGAAAAGTGAGAGCGCCCAAGTGAAGAGCTGACAGAGGTGACTCAGTTCAACCCACGACAAATGGGCAGGAGGCCT